GTGTGTGTGTGTGTGCGTGTGTGTGTGTGCGTCTGTGTGAGTGTGCGCGTTTGTGTGTATGCGTATGCGGTTGTGCGTGTGTGTGTGTGGGTGAGTGTGTGGGTGTGCGTGGGTGACTGTGGGTGTGCGTGTGTCTGTGTGTCCGTGTGTATCCGTGGCTGTGTGTCTGTGTGTGTGTCTGGGTACCTGGGTGTCTGCGCGTCTGTACGTATGTGTGCTGCGCCTGTGTGCCTGAGTCATTGTGTCTCTGTGTCTCTATGTCTTTCCGGCGCTGAGTCTCAATGTCTGTGTGTCTCTGTGTCCCTGCGTTTCTGTGTCTCTGTGTTTTTTTGTCGTTGTGTCCCTGTGTCGCTGTGTCTTTGTCTATATGTGTGTCTCTGTGTCTCCGTGTCGCTGTGCCTCTGTGTCTCTGTGCCTTTGTCGATATGCCTTTGTGTCTCTGCGTGTCTGTGTGTCAGTTTTTGTGTGTCTCCGTGTCTCTGTGTGTCTTTGTGTGTCTCTGTGCCTCGGTGTCTCTGTGTCTCGGTGTCTCTGTGTCTCGGTGTCTCTGTGTCTGTGTGTCTATACGTCGTTGTCTCTGTGTGGCTGTGGCTTTGTGTCTCTGTGTCTCTGTGTGTCGATGTGTGTCGACGTGTTTCTGAGTATATGTGTATCTGTGCCTCTGTGTCTCTGTGCCTGTGTGTCTGTGTGTGTCGGTGTGGCTGTGTGCCTGTGTGTCTGTGTGCCTGTGTGTCTGTGTCTCCGTGTCCCTGTGTCGATGTGTCCCTGTGTCTATGTGTCTATGTGTGTGCGTCCCTGTGTTTCGGCGTCTCTATGTGTCTGTGCTTGTGTGTTTGTGTGTCTCTATGTATCTGTGTATATGGGTCTCTGTGTCTCTGTGTGTCTGTGCCTGTGTGTGTTTGTGTCTCCGCGTCTTTGTGTCTGTGTGTAGCTGGGTGTCTGTGTCTCGGTGTGTCCTTGTGTGTCTCTCTGTCTCTGTGTCTCTGTGTCCGTCCCTGTGCCTCTGTGTATTTGCGTGTCTGTGTCTCTGTGTGTCTTTATGTGTCCCGGTGTGTCTGTGTGTCGCTGTGTATCTGTGTCTTTGTGTCCGTGTGTATGTATGTCTGTGTGTCCGTGTGTCTGTGTATACCTGTATATATGTAAATATGTGTCTGTAGTTGTGTGTGCCTGCGTGTGCCTGTCGGTGTGTCGGTGTCTGTGTCTGTACTTCCGTGTATGAATGTGTATTGTCTGACATGTGTCTGCTGTTGTGTCTGTGCCTGTGTCTGTGTCTGTGTCGTGTCTGTCTGCGTGTGCCTGTATATGTGTCGCTGTCTGTGTGTCTGTGCCTGTGTCTGTGGCTGTGTCTGTATGTGTGTCTGTGTGTCTGTGTCTGTGTCTGTGTCGTGTCTGTCTGTGTGTCTGTGTGTATGTGTCTGCATGTGGGCCTGTGTTTGTGTCTGAATGTCTGTGTGTCTGTGTGTCTGTGTCTGTGTGCGTGTTTGTGCGAGTGCATGTGTGTGTGAGTGTGTCAGTGCGTGAGTGTGTGAGTGTGTGAGTGTGTGTGAGTGTGTGTGAGTGTGTGTGAGTGTGTGAGTGTGGCGTGAGTATGTGAGTGCGGTGTGTGAGTGTGTGAGTGAATGAGTGCGTGAGTGCGTGAGTGTGTGGGTGTGTGGGTGTATGAGTGTGTGAGCGTGTGAGTGTGTGAGAACGTGAGCGTGTGAGCGTGTCAATGTGTGAGTGTTAGAGTGTGTAAGTGTGTGAGTGTGTGAGTGCATGAGTACGTGAGTGTATAAATGTGCGAGTCTGTGACTGAGTGAGTGTGTGTGTGTGTGTTTGCGTGTGTGGGTGCGTGCGTGCGTGCGTGCGCGCATGCGTGCGTGCGTGTTGGTGTGTGTGGATTCTTGTGTGCATGTGTGTGTTTGTGTGTCAGGCTTGTGCATAAGTGGGTGTCTGTTTGTGTGTGGCTTTGTGTAAGTGTGTGGTTGTGAGTTTGTGCATGGTTATATACGTTTGTGTGTTTGTGTGTGTGGTTGTGTGTTTGCGTGTGTTTGGTTGTGTCTGCGTGTGTTTGTGTGTATGGTTGTGTGTGTTTGTGTTGTGTTTGTGTGTATGTGTGTTTGTATGTGCTTGCGTGTGTTTGTGAGTATATGTAGAAGTGTTTGTGTGTGGTTGCGTGTGTCTGTGTGTGTTTGTGTGTACCTGTGTGTGTCTGCTTAGGTCTTTGAAAGTTTGTTTGTATGTGTGTATGTGCGTGTTTCTGTGTGTGTTTCTGTGTGTGTGTGTTTCTGTGTGTTTGCGTGGTTGCGTGTTTGTGCATTTGCCTGTTTGTGTGTCTTATCCGTATAAGGGCTTCGCCCCCTGCCGCCGGCCCCCTTTCAATCAGAATGGTGAATACCAGAGCTATGTTGTATTTTCTCGGCGCCGTCGTGAAACGACGTCGGAACCTCATGTTAGGGCAATTGGTAAGTGGCATATCATATTTACAAGGTTGTATAGCCTCAGGGGCGCGAATATTGTATGATTTACGAGGGTTTGTGGATTCGGATACGCGAGCAGCGTAGTTTACATGGGTGTATGGACTCCGGGACGCGAATTTTGTGTAATTAACACGGGTTTATGGTTTCGGGGACGCGAATATCGCGTAATGTTCAAAAGTGCATGGCCTCGGGGACGCCGCGAATGTCAACAAATCCCGTTTGGGGTTGCCACCCCTCGCGCGGACAGCAACAAGTAACAGTAAGGAAGCAGAAAGCAGGACTAACAAAACTGGAAATTACAGCTGGAACAGGCAGCTGCAATCTTCACCCTCGCAGCCTGGTGGCCCCGCAAGGGGGCCAGCGGATATGTGTGGTTGTGTGTATGGTTGTTTGTGTATTTGTGTGTGCGTGTTTGTGTGTTTGCTTGTGTTGTGTGTATATATTTTTCCACCACCACCAATCTGCATGGCCGTGGCTGGACTCTTATAACGGTGCGTTCGGCTAAGTTCGTTCACAATTGGCATTTCCGCCTCTCACAGCCGTGCCTGAGGTTCTTTTGCGCCGCAAATTTCGAAAAGGGTGTGTGTGTGCGTTTGTGTGTGATTGTGTGTCGTTGTGTGTGCTTGTGTGTCTGTGTATGTGTATGTTTGTCGGTGTGCTGTGTGTGTTGATGTGCGTTTGTGTGGGTGTGTGTGGGTTTGTGTGTTTGTGCGTGTGTTTGTGCGTATGTGTGTGCGTCACTTGTCACTTCGCGGCGCCCTGGGGGGCTGCGATCTGCGCAATTGTCGCCACTTTCGCTGGCTCCTGGGAGGCCCAGCGGAGGTACGTCCCACGCGGACCACTTCAAGACCTCGCGGTGCCCTGGGGGCTGCGATCTGCGCAACTATCGTCACGATCGTTAGCTCCTGGGAGGCCCAGCGGAAGGACGTCCCACGCGGACCACCTCGAGACCTCGCGGCGCCTTGGGGGCGGGGGGCTGCGATTTGCGCAATTGTCGCAACTTTCGTGGGCTCCTGGGAGGCCCAGCAGAGGTACGTCCCACGCGGACCACCTCGAGACCTCGTGGCGCCCTGGGGGGCTGCGATTTGCGCAATTGTCGCCACTCTCGCGGGCTCCTGGGAGGCCCAGCGGAAGTACGTCCCACGCGGACCATTTCGAGACCTCGCGGCGCCTTGGGGGGCTGCGATCTGCGCAATTGTCGCCACTTTCGTGGGCTCCTGGGAGGCCCAGCGGAAGTACGTCCCACGCGGACCACCTCGAGACTTCGCGGCGCCCTGGGGGGCTGCGATCTGCGCAATTGTCGCCACTTTCGCTGGCTCCTGGGAGGCCCAGCGGAGGTACGTCCCACGCGGACCACCTCGAGACCTCGTTGCGCCCTGGGGGATTGCGATCTGCGCAATTGTCGCCACTTTCGTTAGCTCCTGGGAGGCCCAGCGGAAGTACGTCCCACGCGGAACACCTCGAGAACTCGCGGCGCCTTGGGGGGTTGCGATCTGCGCAATTGTCGCCACTGTCGTGGGTTCCTGGGAGGCCCAGCGGAGGTACGTCCCACGCGGACCACCTCGAGACCTCGCGGCGCTTCGGGGGGCTCGTCCTCCTGGCATGTCCCCTCTGTCGATTAGTTTTGGGGCAGCTACCATCTGCTCAGGCAGCTCGAGCTTAAGATCCAGATCAGTTCGGTCAGGACTCGGATGCCAGGGAGGACTCGATCCACAACGCTATATATAGAGCACAATCGCGGCATGGCTCATCGCAGTTCAGCGCGGCGTAGCACAGCACAGCCATCGGCACAGTACATCAAGATCGATGCATTCAGCATTGCATTGGCCCGTCGCCCAATCAGGTGTCTTTGAAACGTTGCCATGCCTTACATTTCTATATTCCTTTCCGGGTTCGTGGGTCGATCATGTTTCCACCAATCTGCATGGTCGTGGCTGGATTATTTCATCATGGCGCGTTCGATTAAGTTCGCTCGCGATTGGCACCTCCACCTGCCGCTGGCGCCTGAGGCTCCCTTGCGTCGCCGACTTCAAAGTGTGTGTGTGTGTGCGTGCGCGTTTGCGTGTGCTGTGCGTGCTGTTCGTTCGTCCTTACGCCGTTGTTCGTTCCTCTGGCTCACCCCCGCGCTCACCCCCGCAGCGCCGGCTGCCGCCCCGCACGCGGCGGCAGCCGCCCCGTCTTACGCTCAGCGCGCGGCCGCGCTGCCTCAGGGAGCGGCGCTCCTCGGGGCACAGCCGGCGGCGCGCTCGAGGAGCCGGTCGAGGCAGCGGGCTGCGGTTGCGGGGCCGCCGGAAGCCTCGAAGGGGAAAGCACGGCATGAGCATGGGCCTGAACTGTTGGAGCTCCGCGCAGATGTCTCGGATCGGCGGTGGGGCCGTCGTTGGCGGTGCCTTTGGCGCCGCCCCGGGCGCCCTCCGCGCACCAGGGGGGGGGTCCAGCGCCGAGCCGAGAGATCCGCGCGGATCTCCAGCACGTTATGTTTATGCGGTTGTTTCTCGTTCTGGAGCCGCTCCCACCGCGGGCGCGGGGGAGTTCGCAGAGACACTGGCCGACCTCAATGCGGTGCTGGCTGTGGAGCCCAACAGCGTGCCGGCCCTGCAGATGAAGGGGGACTTACTGCGGAAGTTCGGCCATTACCGCAAAGCGGCGCGGTGTTACGACGCTGCTGTCGCTCTTTCGCCTGACGCGGTCGGTGCATTGGTTGGCCGCGCAAGCGCGCATAGGTCGTTGGGCAGGCTCGCTGTCGCTGTCCGCGACTTCGACGCTGCGCTCGCCAGAGAGCCCAGCAACGAGGTGGCGCTGGTGGGCCGCGCGGCGGTCAAGCTGGCCCTCGGCTGGTTCTGCGAGGCGACGGCGGATTTCCGCGCCGCGCTGCGGGCGTACCCTGGCCAGGCCGTCGCCCAGTGGGGCCGCTCGATGGTGGCGCAGCACCAGCGAGAAGCGCCCCCCAAGGTGAGCGACGCAGGAAAAGCGGGGCCGCCTTCCCCGACATCGGCGCGTGAGCACCCTCGTCTCCAAGGTGGCCTGCCGCGCCGGTGGCCCGCATAAGCCGAGGCGTCAGGTCGCCAGTTCTGTCATCGTGCGTGAGGCCCGCTGCTGCCTGTCGCTCAGGTGGTGCTGCTGGCTGGCTTCGAGCGCGCGTTGCTCAACAAGGCGTACGTGGAGCGGCGGGAGCCCAGACACGTCGTGGGCGGCCGCGAGACCTTTTGGTCGCAGGACAAGGGCGCGGAGCAGCAGCACCTCCTCTACTACAGCGCCCAGGAGCAGAGGTGCATGGCTCGTTTCGATTCCCCCGACTCGATTCGATTCGACTTCGATGGATTCCGATCCCGATTCGACTCGACTTGGGATTCCGATGTGGGTCACGATTTCTCACTGGACGCACACAAGCCTGCCGACTTCCGCCGATCCGATGTTGTCCGACCCGGTTGCCGATCTCCGCCGACCCGATTCGGTGTCGATCGCCAATCCGATTTACTTGGCATCGCTCTGACGTGTGCATTTTCCCTTCGGCGAGGGCCATCGAGGAGCATCTCTGATCATTTGGCGAAAGAAGCATGCACGAAACCGAACACAGGGAATGGACGTCCGAGCGATGGCGAGGTGGGGGCCGGGCAGCTCCAGGGAGAAAACGCAAGGCTCGAGTTCTGGCGAGAGGAGGAGAGGGAGGAGGAGAAGGAGGAGGAGGAGGAGGAGGAGGAGGAGTTTGTCGATTCGCTTCTGGGCTCCCCCGGGAGGTGGAAGTGCACCCGCGCCAGCGACTTCGAGCGGGTGCGTGACGGCGGCTCTCCCGGCTACGCGGCGGCCCCGCAGGAGGCGCACCTGCTGTCGCCCTCACTCGTCCGGGGCTGGCACGAGTGGGACAAGGCAGGGCCCTCCTCCTCCTCCTCCTCCTCCTCCTCCTCCTCCTCCTCCCCCTCCTCCTCCTCCCCCTCCTCCTCCTCCCCCTCCTCCTCTTCCTTCTCCCCCTCCGTAGCCATTTTGGCTCAAGATGATTGGTTCCCCTGGGGACCGCACGGATACCGCTAGTCCGCGGCCAGACCACCGTTCGCCTTCACCGTGGGAGTTGGGCGCCCACACCCAGTCCTTTCCAGATCGCGCCGCCACGGCCCACCGTGTGTGCTGCTGCCTGGTGTCGTGGAGATGCCACCGCCGCATTACCGTTCGGAGCAGGCGCTTCCTTGGTACTGCAAGAGCTGCTGCGGGCCCTCGGGGAGACCGTGGTGGAATCATGCAGAGGCGCGGCAGTGTGCGAAGTGCAAGCTGGGCAAGGGACTGGTCTTCCACAGCGTGCGCCAGCCCGCGGCCCCCTCCCAGCGGAAGAAGGGCAATCAGGGCGGCAGCGGCAACGGCTACTGGGACGACTCCGTCAAGGTGGCCAAGCTCAAGTCCGAGCTCGCCGAGGCCCGCAAGCGGCTTGCCGCTGTGCAGAGGCCGCCGCCTGGCGGGGAGGACGTGCAGATGGAGCCGGCCGCGGACGGAGACGGCCCCGAGTCCGTCGCCAAGGACAGGCTACGCGAGGTCGGCGACCTCATCGGCAAGCTCAAGGGCATCACCGAGCCGTCGGTCGTGGCCACGCGCGACAAGCTGCTGGCCGAGCAGGCCGAGCTGCGGGCTAGGGTGGCGGAGTCCCGACCGCTCGGACAGCGCTTGCGCGAGATGGGAACTCAGTTCACCAGGCTGCAGAAGCTGCGCGACGACCAGCAGACCAAGCTCGATGGGCTGCAGGCGCAGTTGCGCGACCTGCAGGAGAAGGAACGGCTCACTCGGGACAAGCTGGCGGCCCTCGACGCTAGCATGGAGGAGCTGGACCAGGAGCGCAAGAGGCTTCAAGGGCAGGTTCCGACGCCTGGCGACAAGGCGTCGCTCGACGAGCCGATCAAGGGGGTTGGTGCCACGCTCGAGGGCCTCGGGATCTTGCTCCAGAGCCTGGGCGCCGATCACCAGCTGTCGGGCAGCCTCACGGCGAGCTTCCAGGAGCTGCAGAGGTTGCAGGAGGAGGAGGCGGCAAAGTTGGCTGCCCAGAAGGCGCAGGCGGATGCTGGGGCCGAGGCTGGTCCCGACGTCGAGCAGGCCGAGCGGCAGGACGACGCGGCAGCGCCTCGCACACCACAGCCATCTGCCTTCTCCGACGACCCTGAGTTCATGGAGGAAGTCGTTGCGGCTGGGGGCGAGAAGCACAGGCTGGAGGAGATCTTCATGCGTTGGGGTGCCAAGGTCAAGAGGCCCAGGCTCACCCCTGCCTAGCATGGCTCCACGGCGATGTTTTGCGTGTCTTGTGTGGTTCGTCCTCCTTTGTCGCACCATGGCGTCGGTTTCAAGTATCACCACCGTGAACGTGTCCTCGGGCGGCCCGCTCGTCGACTTCCTGCCCACGTGCTCGAGTTTATGCATCGCGGTGCAGGAACATCATGCCAAGGCCGAGGGCGATGCTTTGGCGAAGTTGCAGAATAAAGTAAGAGCTGCTGGGTACCATGGTATATGGGAGCCCGCCCTACCTGGGCAGGGAGTTGGCAGCAGAGGCGGGGTTGCGGTGCTGGCCCCGCTGCGGGTGGTCATCACCAAACCCCCAGGCCTGGACAGTCACGTGCTGCAGGAAGGCAGGATGATGGCGGCCCACGTCCACGCTGGGGTGAAGGGCGGCTTCGTCATGCTGTCGTGCTATTTCATTGTGGACGTCAAGCTGTCGCCCGAGAACCTGGCCATGCTGTACAAGCTGTACCAGTATGTCAGGTCGCTGGAGGCCATGGGTGTTCCGTGGATCGTAGGAGGCGACTTCAACATGGAGGTAGGCGAGCTCGGCCCGTTGTCCTGGCTCCAGTCGGCCAATGGCGTGGTGCTGGCGCCGAGAGAGCCGACTTGTCTTCAGAGCCTTCCTGGCCGCACCATTGACATGTTCATGGTTTCTTGCCGTTGCTGCCTCGCGTTCGGCAACCAGTGGTCGTCGACGCGGAGACGTGGCCGCATCTACCAGTGACCATGGAGCTCTCCGCCACGGCTTTTGACGCGAAGGTCAGGAGGCTTGTCGAGCCACGCGGCTTTCGGAGGCCGCCTGCGGCGGGGTGCGCGAGGTTCCCCCCCGACTGGGACCCGATCTTGGCGATCATCCAGAGCGCGTCGCACAGCGAGGGCATCACCAGGGCCTGGGACGTCGTGCTCAGCGGCATCGAGTTCGAGCTGCGGGGCCGCTACGACGTCGTGAAGGACGTGGCGGGGTACTCCACGGTGCCAGGCCCCCCGACCTTCGAGCTGGCGAGTTTTCACCCTGTCGTGAAAGGTGCCTGGAGCAGGAGGTCGGCGGACACCCAGGCCTGGGCGCAGGCTGCGCGCTGGGCTCGTCACCTCAGGAGGGTTCGAGTGGCCTTGCAGAGCTTCGTGCTCCAGCTACGCCCGCAGCAGGTCTTCGAGCTCGGCAGCGTCGGCGAGGCGCACGTCGACGGTGTGCCTGGCCTGGGCGATGGGGCACCCCCTGCTGCGGAGGTCGTCGGAGTGGCTGGTCTCTCCTCCGATGGTGGTCGGCCTCGGTCGAGAGCTCAGCGACACCAGCCCCCGCGACGGGCAGGCGAGGACCTATCGTGGGACGCCGTGCACTCCAAGGCGGCGCGCCACCTGCTGGAGTGCGAGAATTTCTTCCAGAGAATCTGGCGGAGGAAGGGAGTCTGGCCGCACCTGGACGCCGAAGCCGTCGGCTTCTTCTCGCGTGGCATACTTGCCTTAGCGCAGGCAGACTTCGAGCAGCAGGTCGACCGCATCCTGAGTATCTCCTCCGATGCTGAGGCCAAGCATGAGAAGGCCGTGATGCAGAGCTGGAGGCAGTGGGCGCAGGCAGCTTTTGCGGCTGGAGCCAAGGGAGCTCACCGATTCATGAAGCCCAAGGCTCTCCAGGAGATCGTGGACGGAGGCAATGGGCTACAACATGGGTACGTACTGGCTGATCGTAAGCTTGAGTATTGGGAAAGCTTCTGGGTGCGGCATGGCGGTGAGCTGGCTCGCCGACCTGTTGATGCTGACACTTGGGAGCAGCTGCCAAGGCTTGAGGCGGCCGACGTACTCAAGGCAATCCGTTGTTTCTCTTGGCAGACAGGCGTCGGGCAGATCAACATCGCGCCCAGGGCCATGGAGCACCTCTCCCACGGGGCGCTGACGGCTATGGCGCGCCTCTTCGAGCGGTGCGAGCACCTCCTGCTGTGGCCAGACGGCAGATTCCTCTCGAAGCTCGTGAGACTCCCCAAGCCAGGGGGTGGGGAGCGCCTGATTGTGCTGATGAACACGCTGGTCAGGATCTGGGGACGGGCGAGGCGGCCTGTCTCGGCAGCGTGGGAGAAGGCCCATGCGCTACCAGAGGTCTGGGGCCACACTGGAGGCAAGTCGTCGAGTGATGCGGCCTTTGATTTGGCGCTCACCAAGGAGATGGCGACCCTGTGCGATGACGACGCCATCATTGTGCTGCTGGACATGCTCAAATGCTACGAGCTGGTCAGGCATGATGCCATTTTGTTGGAGTGCAGGGCCAGTGGATACCCTATGCGAATGGCGTTCATGCTTGTGCAGATGTACCAGCAGCTGCGCTCGGTGCACTCGTATTCTTCGTATTCAGTGGCGCGCAGGGCGTATCAGGGCATCCTGGCAGGCTGCACCCACGCCACTACGCTTCTCATGGTGTTGTTGACTCGCAGCATTCGCCAGACGATGTCGGTCGCTCCTCAGGTTCAGCCCAAGGACTTGGTGGACGACGTCGCGCTGTGCTGGGTCGGCAACGACCCGAGCGGGGTGCGAGAAATGGCCATTGCCACTCGTGCTTTCTGCAGGGCTGTCCGGCCCCTCGGGCTGGTGCTGCAGATGGATAAGTCTGGGCACCTTACGACGTCCAGGCGCACCAGCTACCACTTTCAGAAGTACGCCAGGCTGCTGAAGATCGCTGGCAAGAGGCACATGCGGTATCTTGGCCACGACCTAGCTGGGTCGTCGGCCACAAGGGCCGTGCAGAAGGGACGCCTGAAGGCCATGCAAAGAAAGAAGGCCAGCGTTCGAGCACTGCAGAAGGGAGCAGGACGACAGCGGGCGGCTCGGCTCTGGGCCACGGGTGTGCTGCCATCCGTGGGGCACGGAGCCACGGTCAGCGGCATCAGCGACACGGAGCTGCAGCAGATGAGGACCATGGCTGGCGTCTTCTGTGGCTACAAAGGGTCGGGCTCCCTGACGCTGTACCTGGCCGCGCAGCAGTGGAGCTTCGACCCCATATTCCACGCTACCTTCAGCATCGTGGGGCAGTACGCGGCGTGGGTGTGGGATGGGCGTGTGACGCTCTCCCGACTGCAGCGGGCCTGGATGGGCTTGCGTGACTCCTGGGAAGCCCGCCACACTCACGTCACGTGGGCCAGTGCGCAGGGCCCGCTTTCGGCCTTGTGGTTGTCCCTCAGGAGAGTCAACTGGAACATGGCAAGTTCTACAATCTTGGTTGACGATGAGGGCCTGCATATCAGTTTGCTGCAGTATTGTCCCAGTGAGGTGCTGTTTTTCCTGCGTCGCAGCCTCGACCGTTGGCAGAGCCATCGTATCCTCGACCAGCTGCCTGAGGCGCCCCCAGCCGATGGTGACGGCAGGCGGCAGCAGCATGTGTGGCTTCGTGCGCTTCGACTGGGACACGCCTCCTTGGCGCCTGGCCACAGAGGGGCTCTGGCCAAGCTGCAGTCCAACGGGTTCTGGTCGCCGCAGCGCCGCATGCAGGCTGGCTACGGCGGCGACGGTTCGTGCGAGTTCTGCGGGGAGGCCTGCTGCGACCTCGAGCATGAGATCTTCGGCTGCAAGGTATTGCATCAGCAGCAGGAGGACGAGGAGACGGAGCCGTACCCCGAGGAGGTGGCCAAGAGGAGGAAGGACATCCTGGAGGCAGCCCCGTGGCGCGACGGGGGCCAGGTGCAGGACTTCTCGGCCGTCGACGTGCTCTACGCGCTGCCCCTGAGGCCTGTTTCAGGCCGCTGCCTGCACGTGCTCAGGCTGAGCGCGAGTGGGGGGCGATCGACATGCCGTGGCCGTCGAAGTTGTACGGGGACGGGTCCTGTCTTGAAAGTGATTTCCCTGAGGAACGGCGCTGTGGCTGGGCCGTCGTAGCATTGACCCGAGACCTGTGGCCATACAAAGCTTTGTTCGGGAGCCTGGGGGGCCCTATCCAGACGGTGCCCAGGGCCGAGCGCGTTGCTGGTCTCAAGGCCCTGCAGAGGGCCCAGAGGCCAGCCACGTACGTGACTGATCATTTACAGCTGCAGGTCGAGGGAATGGCCTGGGAGGGTCGTCATGCTTCTGCCAGAGCGCCTCACGCGTCCATCTGGCGGAGCATCCACGAGCTGTATAGAGGCGACCCTGTCAGGCCCGTGTTTGTTTGGACGAAGGCCCATCGGACCGTCCTCGAGGGGTTTGAGGCCTGCCTGGCCTCCCAGGAGCCCCTGGAGCATTTTTTCGGTAATATGTGGGCTGATGTTTTCGCCCGCGTGGCAGCGGCTGATTTCCTTGGATCCACCTCCGTGGTCAAGGCTCACAAATTTTCTCTGCTTCGGGCCCAGGACACGATGCGTTGTCTGGCCTGGGCTGCCGAGCGCGTGGCCCGCCTCTCCACCCCGATACTCCGTGCGCCTCCGAAGGCTGTCTTTCGGCCCCGCCGTCCGCGGCGGCCGACCGATCACGACTTTGTGGTCTTCGCTGGGGGAGCGATTCGTGTCGAGCCTGCTGGAGGCTTGCAGCGACGGCTTCGTCGTTGAAGTCTCTGGCCTCCCGCGCATGCGACCCCCAGGAGGTCGGGCCAGGACACCAGGTCCAGGCCTTGGATCGAGTTTTGATCTGTGTTAAGTGCGGGGCGCACGCTGTGCGCCCCAATCGGCTGTCGGTCGGCCTGTCTCGAGCGTGCAAGAGGGCTGGGACGGGGTCGGCGGGAGCTGGGAGTGGGGGGGACGGAGCTATCGCGTCGATGCTCGAGCTGGCTCGAAGGGGCCTGCATCCCAAGACGGCCGAGCCCCTCGAGCCGCTCGTCTTCTCGGAGCTCGGGGTGCCTGCGATGCCGCAGCAGGCGCCCGAGCCCGAGGCACCTGACTAGTGGGCGGATGTGCTGGCGGGGGGCGCGGTGCGAGTGGGGACTGCCCGGCGCTGCGCCGTTAGTGACCCTCGCACCGTTGCTCCCCAGCCCCGCGCACGGAAGGAGCAGATCCGCTGCACTTAAGGGCCCCTTAAGTGCAGCGGGCTGTCTTGGCCTCCATCGCGTCGATGCTCGAGCTGGCTCGAAGGGGCCTGCATCCCAAGGCGGGCGAGCCCCTCGAGCCGCTTGGTTTCTCGGAGCTCGGGGTGCCTGCGATGCTCAGCAGGCGCCCGAGCCCGAGGCACCTGAATAGTGGGCGGGTGCGGGCGGGGGGCGCGGTGCGAGTGGGGACTGCCCGGCGTTGCGCCGTTAGTGACCCTCGCACCGTTGCTCCCCTGCCCCGCGCGCGGCGCGGAGAGCGCCCCTTGTTGGATGAGGGCCCTCTCTCGTTCTTTTTTCGAGGCGTGTTCGTGATTCACCTGCACGCTCTCGGCACTGTCCTCACTGTCTTCCTTCTCCCCCTCCTCCTCCTCCTCCTCCTCCTCCTCCTCCTCCTC